CCATTCAGTATAACTGGGAGTTGGAGTTACGTTTGAAAGTGGGTAGTAGCAGAAAAGCAGGCTGCAAAGCCCAGGGGAGAAGAGGCTCTTCAGACCTTGCCTGGTAGACTAATGTTTGGATTTTATCTTGTAGTTTATAGGTAGGCATTATTCTTGATCTCATTCTGGGCTCTTGACCATGGACTTGATTCTTGCCGCCTCCAACTTTTATTCTTTACTCAAAAATTGTCATTTCTCTCAGCCATTTTTCACTTTTTTCAACCCATCCTGTTTTTAACACACTATTTTCCCACTCTTGCTTCTGTCTCTTGCTCTTTCTAACTGGATTTTCCCAGTTTCAGCCATCTGTCAACTCTTGTCACTATCCTCATGAGATGTTCTCCCATGGTCATCAGGTCTTCCACCAGAAGAGAACCACTCAGTCCATGAATGGGGGAGGTTGAATGTGTCCTCTTGCTGAGTCTGCTGTAAGCCTTGGGCATCTGTCCATTTGTATTGCTTCTGTATGAAAATTCATCATCTCAAAGATTGAAAGCTACTCTCTGGAGCATATTAATACTCTGAAGATAGGGGTGACTGTATGCTCTAAAAATTAATATGAGAGGCAAACTTGTTTGATTGATCTTTGAGAAAATGACCAGCTATTACTTTTCAGACTCTTACTTGAATTCTAGGAACCGACAAAAATAAGCAATGGGGATGATCTTAAGCAGAACAGAAAGCGTAACTCACTATGTCATATTTTTATGAAATTGCACCATAAAATTCGGTCTTGCAGTTTCAAAAGTCTCTGTAGGGTTCATATTATTACATTATTACATATTTTATTTACTTGACCAATGAGTAAACTGAGTCAATGATTAATCTGTCTCAAAATAAATTAACAAAGTTTTAAGAAAATCACAGAACTGGATTCTTGACACATCCCTTTGTGCAGTGAAGGTTTGTTTTTTGCTCTTCTGTGTCCCTCAGTCTTGCTCTTTTCTGCCACTCACCTTCTATCTCTTCTCTTTTCCTGTTCTGCCTAGTTTGGAATATTTTGCCAAGTCTTTATCTCCTGCATAGTTTATCCAATTTGTCCTTGTGCAATGTCCCATAACGCCTTAGCTTATTCTTTTTGTTCATTTGTCACATTTTATTTTCCATTTAGTGTGTTTTCATACAGTTTTGAAACGTGTTGAAAAGAGACTTCTTAAATTTCTGCGATGTTTTCATATAAAGGGTTCTGTTTCTCATATTATTTCCCGTAAAAATGTTGCAGTTATTACATGCCTGTAATTTTTTCCTTCCCTCAATTTGACCAGACTTGAAGGACTTAGATATATGTGTCATTTTCTATAATTTAGGAGCACTTCTCAATTTAAGAAGTTGAGGATAAATGCAGTAACTCTAAAACATGCCCCTCTTGTCCACTGGCCCCTCCATGTATCTCTTGGCTACCCTTTCTTTGACAGCATATCTATTTTGTACACCTTTGTCCCCTGACCCTAGAGATTCTGATTCAGGCTGCTTAGGGTGGGATTCTGAGCTTCATATTTTGAAAAAAGCTCTCTACGGGAGTCTGGAGTCTGATATGCAGTGCTTATTAAGAGTGATGTTTTATATTGGAATCAAAACACACTAAGCTTTCTAACTATGATGAGCAATCCAATAGATTTAATTATGATTTTCTTTCTGTCCAAAACTAAGACTAGATGTTAATTGCCAGAGCAATAGATAAGGATGCCTGTGACAACAGAACATTAATGTGATATCAGAGCTTGGAAATTTCACTGGTAGTGATTAATTTAGTACTTAAAATATTTAAAAGCTATAGAATTAAGATGAACTCATCTTTCACCAAGTGAATAGAGTTGATTGAGGTTTTACATTTAATTTCGTGAGTCAAACTTTATCTTCAGGCTCAGAGGCTAACTGGAAAACACCATGTACGAATTTTACCTCCTGTTTTGCCCCATTATTTGGCTGTCTTACACTTTATTACTGAAAACGCTCCCCGAGTAGAGCGCGTGCTGTAAATACTGCTCCTGATTACAAAGCCTTCCCACACAAATGCAATAGACTATTTAATGAGCTCTTCTTTCACAAAATGAAAAATCTGAAGACCCTGATTTGGGAGTCTATATAAATGAGATTTAGATCTAACAATTTTAAATTATTGCTTCTTTCTTAGCTCTTCAATTCTGTCTCTTATCTGGGAAAAAGAAATAACAAAACCTTTGTTGATTCTACAATTGGGTTAAAAAAGTCAATGTAACCATCAGCCCTGCAGTAGAAGGGCCAAAATAAAAAATAGAAAGGAAAGGGGCTTAGATAAAAATGCCGAAGCAGCTTTAGTTTATAGCCTTGTAAACCAGCAACAGGAATTCTTCGATTGCCTAACAAAGATTCACAAGGCGTGTACTCCATCATCTTACTCAGTGTGTTGTTCCCAGAGCTGCAGTACAGCCATCCCCCGAAGCTCGTTAGAAGCAGAGAATTTGGGGCCCTCCGCAGACCTACTGAATCAGAATTGGCAGTTTAACAAGATCTCTAGATTCTTGTACATGATCAAGTTTGAGTTTCATCTCTATAGCACACATCTAATAAGAGCTCCATTCATTTTTAATAAGTATTACTAATAGTTGTGGGTGATGGACACCATTGGGGGTACAAATTAGAGTCATGATCTTTTTCCTGTATGTTTTAGGCAAAGATTTTTTCTGACTTGTACCTTTTAGGCAAAGATTTCCCCATTTCAGTAGTCATTCATGATTGCATGATTCAGCTAGTTTCCAAACCCTGGTGATTCTGCCTTTTTATGCCATCTCTAGCCTTCCCTTCCTGGTGCACTGTCAAAACTATCTCCTGTCCTTGCTGTTTTGCCTGTGTCCCTGCCTTAACAATAGCCTAAATTCTGCTTCAGAATTATCCAGAAACACAGATCCAGCTCTCCTACTCCTGTACTTAAAACATAAGTCATTTTCCATTGCCTTCCATTGAATTACAAACTCTTTAATCAAAAGCAAAGTCCTCTCTGGCCAGGCCCAGTATACACCCAGAGCCACATCTTTCCCTAAACCGCACCCCTCATACAGTGACACAGAGCCCAGATGCATATTCCTGGTCAGATCACGGAAACTGCACACCAGAGGCCTTGCCTTCTGCCAGCCCCTTGCCCCACTGACCTTCCTGGTGCCTAAATCCTACCTATTCTTTAAATTACAAATTTCCTCCAGAGGTCTCCCCTGCTCCTCCTTCTCCTAAGATCCTCCCTCTTCTGATCTGTCCAACATTGGACACCTTGCTTTCTCTAGCCTTCTCTAGGTAGCTAGTGTAACACATTAACCTCTGCATCTGTGTCTGATCTCGACCAGCTTATACTCTGCCTAAACCCTAGAAAATTGTTCTTATTTCTCCAGATAGTGTCCTAAGCATTAGGGAGACAGTCATGAATGGGACACAGTCTCTGACATCAAGGAATTTATGGTGTAATAGGCATACAGACACAGTCTGTTATGAAGGGATACCTATTACTAAAAACGAAGTCATGTGCATCAGTGATCTGAACAGGTGGTAAAGAGTAAGATGTAAGTAATGGAGCAAAGTCTACTAGTTGCAAGGAAATATCACATGGTGACCACAGCATATGTCATGCACATTTAAGAGAGTCTGATCAGGAGAGCTTATGATAGTTTAACGACTGTATAGTTTTTTATTCATTGTGAGCTATTGTGTTCCTGGGATAATGGCCTTGTTATAATTTGTTGCTGATTTATTGAGTCTTTTAACTGCTCAAGTTTTACTACCAAAACTTCTAGTATTCAAAATACTACACAATCACGAGTCTAAGGGGAGATCTGGCCCAGTCTCAGAAGACAGGCATTCATTCATCTGTTTGGCAAGCATGTTCTGAGGTTTACTGTGTGCTTGGTATTGGCTCAAGGGACAGGGGAATGAGTGTAAGAGTATTAGATGATTAGAAACACATCTATCAGAAAAGTGCTCTGCATACTGACTTTATCCCATTAGTACACAAGGATTTGCGAGTCCTTTGGATATAAATATGGTAGGATCTCAAGTTCTCATATTATTTCATTTTCTAATCTTCACATTGATTAATGGGTTATTTTAATTGCCTTACCAATTCTAGATTAACTTTTAAAAAAGGTAGAGTACCATTTTTATTTAATAATAAAAAGTATTTTTGATTTTACACATATTTGGTTAGAATATTCTCCCTGTTTTGGTAATAGTCTCTTTTTAATGGAACTATTTTTGTGTGACATTCTACTTTTAAAATTTCATTGAAGATAAAGAGTAGAGGATATTTAAGTTCGACACCATCAATGACTCATAAAAACATTCTGGTGGCTATAAATTATTTTTAAATTTATTGCTGTACCTTAGGGATTTCTTGATAGGCTGCCCCCGAAAGCAATTATTTCTCGGTTTTATAATACAGACTACATTGATGGAAACAGAATTTGAAATAAATTTTCTCCTAATACAGTAATGAATTTTTGTTTATCTCTAGAGGTTGTTTTGTGTGTGTGTTTTTCATTTTTAATACTCTGGCTAAACTATGTATGTTCTTTTTTCCTCTTAAATTGACTGTCACTAAGAAATCCAAATACTTTTTTCACGTTAAATTTTACAACACTTCATAGACTATTAAACACGGAACATCCTTGTGGGGACAAGAAATCGAATTTGCTCTTGAGAAGGTTTTCAACTAATTGATTTGTAGGACATTATAACATCCTCTAGCTGACAAGCTTTACAAATATAAAAACTGGAGCTGAACGGAGAGAGAGCTGTTTTTACCAACACATAAAAGGTGGCTTTCTGCCTGGTGTCCTTTGGATATAGACATGTCAGTTTCATAGGGAAACTTTCACATGGAGCTTTTTTACTTCTTCCTCTCCCAGCAGAACCCCATGTGGTAGCACATTGTTTAATCTTTTCTCAAATAAAAGGACCCGGGCTTCATTTTGTTTTGCCTTTTTGGTATCTTGCAGGAACTCCAGGATGGCATTGGGCAGCGGCAAATTGCTGTCAGGGTACTGAATGCTACTGGGGAAGAGATAATTCAACAGTCCTCAAAAACAGATGCCAGTATCCTACAAGAGAAATTGGGAAGCCTGAATCTGCGGTGGCAGGAGGTCTGCAGGCAGCTGGCAGAAAGAAAAAAGAGGTAAGGTGGCAGATAAAATAGGAATTTTAAAACTTTGCAGGGCTATCTAAGCTGTCCTTAAAGAAAAGATTGTGTGAAAGATAACCAGGGTGAAAGGCTGTAACATTAGGGAGCCCATCAACAGATAATCAATAGCAGTAATGCATTTTTTCTTTCTTTTTCTCATATACTGAAATGTTTAGTTGTTGCTAGCTAAGCAGGAAGTGCTTTTCTGCTACTTTAAAGTTTCAAGTCTGGTTTAAAAATCACATGATCATATAAAAGTGAATGTCTTCAGCATATTCCAGCCTTAACAAGCCAAGGCCCAATGATCTTTTAAAGAAGATGAGAAAAGGAAATTATAAAGGACTATTTTGTAGGAAAGACTGCTCTTTGGCTAGGTTTTTTTAACAGCTACTAATGTGACTATGATGCTGAAAAACATGATAGTAATATTTACCTTTCAGTTCTGCTGCATTTGTTAGTACATTCTTGAAGAGGAACTTGGGCCAAAAATGTTCAAATCTAAAGGGGAAAACAAAATCTCAAAAAGGTTACTGTTGAATTCATTCATCATTTAACTTTCCCTTGGAATGCATTGAAAGCACAGAAAGCCAGACGCGTGCTGCTGCAGTTGGAAGGCAGAGATATTTTTATAAGTGGGGTTTTGTGTTGTGCTTCCAGTTGGTGCTCAGGTTTCCTGTTCCATAAGGGAGGACTTGGCCTTTATTTACCAAGTGAGACTATTGTTGTCAACTATGAAAACTCAGCTCTATTGCCAAGTTCTTGCTTCCTTCCAATCATCTACATAATAGGTGAATTTCTGATATTCAGAAAGCTAAAACAACTCATTGATAAACGTCTTTGGTGAGGATGTATTAGAAAGGTTTGGGAATTGTGCCCATTGTCTTTGCTCGCCTCCTCTTGCTACCTTTGCTCACGTTGCATTATTCAGAAAGTAGATAGAATTCATATTCCTGTACAAAATGGATGGATTAGTTCACACACACACACACACACACACACAAACACACACAAATCTTGCTAAAGTTAAAAAGTAATAGCATCTTCTAAAAACATTTTTATTTTAAATCTTGGTTTAGAAAATACTGTAATTTATATATTGACGACATAAAGACCCAAACTTCGTAGTTACGCGGCTTCCTTGAGAAAGTTATATAGTTTTTCCCTTAAGTTGAAATCCTTCTATTAAACACACAACTATCCTATTATTTAAATAACTGACATGTTTACACTATGAACAAGTTTAAACCTGTATAATGTCATTTCGGAACTAGACTCAATCTAGTCTAAAATAAGATGTTAAGAAATGAAAAGATTAGGAAAAATTGAACATGCTATAAAAAATAAAGATCTTGAATTCATAAAGCGGGTTCAGTTGATTGGGAGGGTTATTTCTTCTTTATTGTATATAAAGTATTGTTCTTCTTTTCTCTTTTTTTACTTTTTATTGGATTTGTTGGAGTGACACGGGTTAACAAAACTACTGTACAGGTTTCAGGTGCACAGTTCTGCACCTCGTCATCTGTACACTGCAATGTGTGTTCACCACCCCAAGTGAGGCCTCCTTCCATCACCATGGCTCCCCCTTTCCCTTCCAACACCTCTCTCCACCCCACCACCCCTGGCAATCACCACTCTGTTGTCTGTTTCCATGAGGGTTTTCTTTTTTTCTTTTTTGCTCAACCCCTCCCCCCTCACCCAGCCCACCCCACAGCTGTCAGTGAGCCTTCTCTCTATGAGACAATTTCTCAGTTTTAAATATCTTACCCACAGTATTTGAATAGAGTGTATTAAATTTTTTTGTGATAACTCTTTCACCTGAACTTTAAAAATCTTGTTATTTGTTATTGATTTCTAAATGCAAATGAGAACTTACACATGGAGATAGAGCAATATGCCTGTTTTACCAAATAAGCTCTAAAATTTTAGATCCATCTAAGTTTACAAGAAAGTGGTATTTGCTGACTCTGTTGTGAAATATTACACAAATTGTAGGTTAATTACAGCTAGGGATTTGGCTGTAATTGGTTAGAAAAATGTCTCCCATTTAAACATTTGACCTACATTAAATATTGCATTTTTGTGCTTTAAAAAGTCAAGATCAGATTCCTTGAGGTTTAATTTTTAACTGAGCTTTTAAAGTTGTCAACTTCACGCTACATTTAAAAAGTAAATGTTAGCATATTTAAATTTCCACTGAGATCAGTTTTGTGGCACACTTCCTCGGGACTTTTGTATCATTTGAATTTTATGAAATGTAAAAAAGGAGTAAAGTATAAGTGCCATTTCTACCAATACACTCAAAGCTACTTCCAAGCATCCAGTAGAAAATAAAGTAAAATAGAATAATATTTTATAAAGAAGATGTTAACCTAACAAGCGTGGGAGGGCAGTAATCATGAAACTATTATTAATCAATGGCATGCTTTCAGTGCAACCCAAGCAGAAGTTTGAAGGAAATAGAAATTATTTGTTGCACAGGTGAAAAATAAGATGGTTATGCAATTTGACAAGGGTATTCTTAATTTGCAGTGGGCTTTAAATAGAGCTATTGGAAATATTTAATGTTTCTTAGTTCACAGAGGCAAAGGAAAGAACTTGTATAACTTAAGCAAAAAAGTCTACGCAAACTATTTGTAGCATTATAGCTACACAATTTTAGACCTTTCTCTTTGAAAATGCCAGATTCCAGAAATATGAGAAGGAAATGTCCAGAAAAATTCAAATAGCAACGCACATCCAGTAGGGTTAGTCTATGTTGGAAGTAAATGAAGTATAAACTAGAGTCAATTAGCTGTGCAATTTAAGATAGGAAATTCACCGTTGCCTCAATTATGTAGCAGAGCAACTGAATAACATCTATAGGTTTAAGCGTGATAGTAATAAGTTTAATGATGGCTTAGCCCCCAAAATGGTCTTTGTAAATTGAAAAGATGCAAATGAAAACCTATCGGCCATAAAGGGAAGTCGTAGGTTACAACAAAGCAAGGCTGTGTCTGAAGATTTTTAAGCCCGGTTCCCTTGATAGGATTCAGGGGGGTGCTGTGAGCTTTAATGGGGAGAAAAACTGCCTCTTTGTTTTCACTCACCTCTAACTGAAACTGGGCACCCCTTCCATTTGGAATATGGGCAACATCCAAAGTAATACTAGCGGTACCTGTGAAACATGTTTTCACATGTCGTAAAGTTGGTACAGACATTTCAAAATATTGTCCGTGCTTATCAGTACCTCAAAACTGCGGGGGTTATTAGATCCGCCACGAGATCTTATTAATGTGTTAATAATAAATCATGGCTTGCATTACTATGGCACACATTTGTTTTTCTAATGATTTTTTAACTGTCTTTCAATACAACTGGCTTCCTTTGGAGTCCTGTGTATTTTATTAGTATGGACTTACTATAAGATATGAGGCATCTCAGGCTTCACCAAACTGCGAGTGGGCCCATAACATAAAAACGGTCTTAACTATTTCTAGCCGGCTGTTTGCCCAGACCCCGTTCTCATGTGCTCTGGTTTCAGTCCGTTAGAAAGTGAGGTCCTCAGACTCTCCTTTCCTCTGGAGTGTTCCAGCAGATGTACCAGCCAGGAGAATGTGGGTAGGCGGACCTTGGAGCCATGGATTGCTGACAACCTAAGGAAGGGGTATTTTACTTAAAATAATGTCAGCTGATAAAAGGTTGAATGGAACTGGAAAGCAAGGTGATGGGCACTGGAATCCCTATTTTGAGTAATCTCTGATTCAGAACCTGTTAGTAATAAAAATGATCTCAAGACACTGTGTCACCTCTTTAGACAAATGCAATGCCGCTTTCCCCATTTCACAGATAAGGCAATTATTGTACTAACATAGATTGTGGGATAACAGTTTTAATTTAAATGTTTCCCAATCAAAAATACTGCTTGACATTTTTCTCAACTTTTTTAGTGAAAATTTTCAAGCATATAAAAGGGGAGGGGGTAGCACAGGGAATACTGTGTATCCCCTTGTTCTTCTCCTGATTTCCTAGATTCCACAATTGAGATTTAACACTTAACCATATATGCTTTTCCTTTCTCCCTCTTTTCTCCCTCACTAGTGTCTGCCTTTCTCTAATCTAGGAAGTAATACTCACACAAATTTTTCATTGTCTTAACATTTGCAAGTAAGTTATAAACATTCTTATGTTTCACCCTTAAGCATGCGTCATCTGAGAGTCGCGACATGCTGTGTATAAGCACACTTGTTGCTCATGCTCCAGAAAATTAAAAATAATGCCATATTATTGTTTCATGTCCTGCTCATATCCAAATTTCCTGATTGGTTCAAAAATGTCTTCTGGTTGTTTTTGTTTTGTTTTGTTTTTGAGCTTTTTTTTGTACCAATATCCCATCGTGTTTCGTGCATTTCATTTGGTTTTGTGAGGGAGGGGAAAAAAAACCTTTTTCCTCTACCCTCTAAGGTTTAGTTTCAGAGCCTGCAAGTTAAACTGACAAAAAACACCTTAATAGGAGTACTGGCCTACAGATTTTATTTGATGTTAATGTGTTTGTGTGGCATGAGCGGCTTCAAGGAATAGAAGTAAAAACCCCAAATAAGTGGTAGGCCTAAGAGCTTATATACCATTTTAACAAAGAGCGATAAATTATAGCGACAAGACAAAGGAAAATAGGTTTGGGCTTCTAAGGGTGATATATTGTGGGAAGGTAAATGCAGTATATGGGGGACACTAATGAAAGATAAGAGATATTTCAGGAAGGTTGTTTTTTTGGTTTGTTCTTGTTTTTTAGTAAGGTTTCTTTATGCAGATTCAAGGCGATGCTGTCTTCAATGATAAAAGTCATCTCCTATTCCTGGTACTGGAAAGGGGAGAGAGGATTACCTTCACAAAGGGAAATTTATACCCTGCCTATAGGCAGAAACAGTAGTAGAGAGCTTTTCCTTTGTCTGCTCTTTCTCAATTGCCTTCAGCTCAAAATAATCCTATGCCAAAGTGGCACATTTTGAGGTGACATT